ATCAGAGGGGTAAATTTATTGGATGTTGGACGTTGGGCACCAGGAAATTAGCAAAACAAATTCAAAAAGGTGGTTGGAAGTGAGAGTTCGGCTTCAGAGGAGGTTAGGGGTCATCATTTTAGACCGATTTTTTTCTAGGCCCAGACCCCACGTGAAAGTACTGAGGGATCTTGGAATCATGTCCAATCTAAGGCAACTAAGTTTGATTTCGCCAAGCAACGACGCTTCGTATAGTTTGCATATCATCGCTCCGAGCGGAACGAAAAAAAAACATCCAAGCTGTATGGTTGGATGCTGCTTGTTTTACGAGACAATGACCAAATTTAGACGGCAACTGGCTGCACACCATGTCAAGCCATCAACCCCCAGGAAATCAATGACCTTCGGCAAACTTAGCCCCGACAAATCGAGAATGCTTGTGCTCTCAAGCCCGAACTGGAACCCCCCCCCCGGCAAAAAAAACCAAGCTTTCTGAGTCCGGACTCGCGGTCCACATGCTCGAACTCGAGTTCGAACTGGCGGTGACACAGTTCGAACTCGCCCCAGAGCAGTTCGAACTCGATTTTGACCTGGCGGCGTCCGCGTCGAACTCGAACTCGAACTCGAACTCGCACCCCCCCCCGGGAAAAAAAAAAACAAGCTTTCTGAGTCCGGACTCGCGGTCCACATGCTCGAACTCGAGTTCGAACTGGCGGTGACACAGTTCCAACTCGCGTTCGAACTCGCCCCAGAGCAGTTCGAACTCGATTTTGACCTGGCGGCGGCCGCGTCGAACTCGAACTCGAACTCGAACTCGACCCCCCCCCCTCCGGAGGGGAAAAAAAACCTTTCCGAGTATGCATTCACGGTCAAGCTCTGAAAGACTGCGAGCTGTCAGCCGGGAAGTCAGGTGCCAGGAATTAATTTTTTCCGTATCAGATTGAGGGGGGAGATACAACGCAAGCATCCAGGAAATAATTTTCTTACTTGGCTATCAGAGGGGTAAATTTATTGGACGTTGGACGTTGGGCACCAGGAAATTAGCAAAACAAATTCAAAAAGGTGGTTGGAAGTGAGAGTTCGGCTTCAAAGGTTAGGGGCCAGGAATTTAAAGCTTCAAAACCTCTCTCAAAGGTTAGGGGTCATCATTTAGACCGATTTTTTTTCTTAGTCTACTAAGGCCCACACCCCACGTTTTAAAGTACTGTAGGGAATCTTGAAATCATGTCTCAATCTAAGGCAACAAGTTTTGTTTCATTTCGCCAAGCAACGACGCTTCGTAATAGTTTGCAATATCATCGCTCCGAGCGGAAACGAAAAAAACATCCAAGCTGTATGTTTTGGATGCTTGCTTTTTTACGAGACAATGAACCCAAATTTAGAAGACGGCAATTGCGGCACCCATGTCAAGCCATCAACCCCCAGGAAATCAATGACCTTCGGCAAACTTAGCCCCGACAAATCGAGAATGACACAGTTCGAACTCGCGTTCGAACTCGCCCCAGAGCAGTTCGAACTCGATTTTGACCTGGCGGCGGCCGCGTCGAACTCGAACTCGAACTCGAACTCGCCCCCCCCCGGAGGGAAAAAAAAAACAAACCTTTCCGAGTATGCATTCACGGTCAAGCTCTGAAAGACTGCGAGCTGTCAGCCGGGAAGTCAGGTGCCAGGAATTAATTTTTTCCGTATCAGATTGAGGGGGGGAGATATGGCATGTTACCAACGCAAGCATCCAGGAAATAATTTTCTTACTTGGCTATCAGAGGGGTAAATTTATTGGATGTTGGACGTTGGGCACCAGGAAATTAGCAAAACAAATTCAAAAAGGTGGTTGGAAGTGAGAGTTCGGAAAAAAAAACAAGCTTTCTGAGTCCGGACTCGCGGTCCACATGCTCGAACTCGAGTTCGAACTGGCGGTGACACAGTTCGAACTCGCGTTCGAACTCGCCCCAGAGCAGTTCGAACTCGATTTTGACCTGGCGGCGGCCGCGTCGAACTCGAACTCGAACTCGCCCCCCCCCCGGAGGGAAAAAAAAAACCTTTCCGAGTATGCATTCACGGTCAAGCTCTGAAAGACTGCGAGCTGTCAGCCGGGAAGTCAGGTGCCAGGAATTAATTTTTTTCCGTATCAGATTGAGGGGGGAGATATGGCATGTTACCAACGCAAGCATCCAGGAAATAATTTTCTTACTTGGCTATCAGAGGGGTAAATTTATTGGATGTTGGACGTTGGGCACCAGGAAATTAGCAAAACAAATTCAAAAAGGTGGTTGGAAGTGAGAGTTCGGAAAAAAAAACAAAGCTTTCTGATTCCGGACTCGCGGTCCACATGCTCGAACTCGAGTTCGAACTGGCGGTGACACAGTTCGAACTCGCGTTCGAACTCGCCCCAGAGCAGTTCGAACTCGATTTTGACCTGGCGGCGGCCGCGTCGAACTCGAACTCGAACTCGAACCCCCCCCCGGGGGAAAAAAAACAAGCTTTCTGAGTCCGGACTTGCGGTCCACATGCTCGAACTCCAGTTCGAACTGGCGGTGACACAGTTCGAACTCGCCTTCGAACTCGCCCCAGAGCAGTTCGAACTCGATTTTGACCTGGCGGCGGCCGCGTCGAACTCGAACTCGAACTCGACCCCTCCCCCCCGGAGAGAAAAAAAAAACCTTTCCGAGTATGCATTCACGGTCAAGCTCTGAAAGACTGCGAGCTGTCAGCCGGGAAGTCAGGTGCCAGGAATTAATTTTTTTCCGTATCAGATTGAGGGGGGGAGATATGGCATGTTACCAACGCAAGCATCCAGGAAATAATTTTCTTACTTGGCTATCAGAGGGGTAAATTTATTGGATGTTGGACGTTGGGCACCAGGAAATTAGCAAAACAAATTCAAAAAGGTGGTTGGAAGTGAGAGTTCGGAAAAAAAAACAAAGCTTTCTGACTCCGGACTCGCGGTCCACATGCTCGAACTCGAGTTCGAAATGGCGGTGACACAGTTCGAACTCGCGTTCGAACTCGCCCCAGAGCAGTTCGAACTCGATTTTGACCTGGCGGCGTCCGCGTCGAACTCGAACTCGAACTCGGAAAAAAAAAAAACAAGCTTTCTGAGTCCGGACTCGCGGTCCACATGCTCGAACTCCAGTTCGAACTGGCGGTGACACAGTTCGAACTCGCCTTCGAACTCGCCCCAGAGCAGTTCGAACTCGATTTTGACCTGGCGGCGGCCGCGTCGAACTCGAACTCGAACTCGACCCCCCCCCCGGAGAAAAAAAAAAACAACCTTTCCGAGTATGCATTCACGGTCAAGCTCTGAAAGACTGCGAGCTGTCAGCCGGGAAGTCAGGTGCCAGGAATTAATTTTTTCCGTATCAGATTGAGGGGGGAGATATGGCATGTTACCAACGCAAGCATCCAGGAAATAATTTTCTTACTTGGCTATCAGAGGGGTAAATTTATTGGATGTTGGACGTTGGGCACCAGGAAATTAGCAAAACAAATTCAAAAAGGTGGTTGGAAGTGAGAGTTCGGCTTCAGAGGTTAGGGGCCAGGAATTTAAAGCTTCAAAACCTCTCTCAAAGGTTAGGGGTCATCATTTTAGACCGATTTTTTTTCTAGGCCCAGACCCCACGTTAAAGTACTGAGGGATCTTGAAATCATGTCCAATCTAAGGCAACTAAGTTTCATTTCGCCAAGCAACGACGCTTCGTATAGTTTGCATATCATCGCTCCGAGCGGAACGAAAAAAAACATCCAAGCTGTATGGTTGGATGCTGCTTGTTTTACGAGACAATGACCAAATTTAGACGGCAACTGGCTGCACACCATGTCAAGCCATCAACCCCCAGGAAATCAATGACCTTCGGCAAACTTAGCCCCGACAAATCGAGAATGTTTGTGCTCTCAAGCCAACATACCCATGTCGTGTTCTCAGGCCAACATTTGGTCCGAGTACTTGTATTACCAACATGGCTTCTCAGCGACACGTCTGCCTACGCATGAAAACCCCCACCCTGACTTGGCCTCTCCTTCCAGAAGGGTATGCGATGACCACACCAAGCGTAGATTGAACATGTGCAGCCATCAGTGTCACACGCAGTTTTTCGCCAGAGCGGGAGTTCGACGACTTGGAAGAGTCATAGTACGGACAACATTGATAGTTCGAACCCTCGAACTCGAACTCGAACTCCACCCCGCGCCCCCCCCGCCAACAAAAAAAAAAACTCCCGACCTAGAACTCGAACTCGAACTCGAACTCCTCCCCCCCCTCCCCTCGAACGATGACAGTTCGAACCCTCGAACTCGAACTCGACTCGAAACTCCCCCCCCCTCCCCTGGAAGGATAACAATTCGAACCCTCGAACTCGAACTCGAACTCCCCCCTCCCCCGCCCAACGAAAAGAAAATCTCCCGACCTCGAACTCGAACTCGCAATCGAACTCGAACTCCTCCCCCCGACCTCGAACTCGAACCCCCCCCCTCCCCTGGAAGGATAACAATTCGAACCCTCGAACTCGAACTCGAACTCCCCCCTCCCCCGCCCAACGAAAAGAAAATCTCCCGACCTCGAACTCGAACTCGCAATCGAACTCGAACTCCTCCCACCCTCCCCTCGAACGATGACAGTTCGAACCCTCGAATCGAACTCGAACTCGAACTCCACCCCCCCCCGCCAAAAAAAAAAAATCTCCGACTCGAACTCGAACTCGAACTTCCCCCCCCCCCATCCCCTCCGAAGCAGACGTACGAAGCCAGTTCAAACTGGTATCGAACAGTTCGAACCCCCCCGGGTTAACTCGAACCCTCGAACTCGAACTCGAACTCGAACCCCCCCCCTCCCCTCGAGGCACACCTAGGATGGCAGTTCGAACTCGAATCGAACAGTTCGAACCCCCCCGGGGCACACTCTGATGAAAGTCATCCATTTATTGGGTATTTATATGGTATTTATAGGGTATCATTGCTATCTCTAGCCATTTGAAATGAATATTGGATGGGAACTTCATCGATCTAAATGGGAGATTGTCCAGCTGATGACACCAGAGAGTAGCTAGTAGCTATAGACTTGACTTGATATGATCATTCCCGTTTCCAAGGTGGACATGCGACAAATATGGGTATGGGTCAAAACCCTGGTGCCCTTCTGTTCACAGCAAAATAGTTGTTACTTGTGGATGGTTCTCGTTGTTTATCCCCCCATGGTTTTAACTTTGTGCCGGCCGAAGTTGGAGGATATATCCCATATTGGCTGGTAGTCATACCACCATGAACAGACCATGGGGAATTAATCCCTCCGGTAATTTTTCACAGTTTCCGAACTGGAAGCCATGGCCCAGTCGAGAGTTCGTTGATTTTCCCATGGGAAAAGTGGTGGATCTTTCCAGTTCGCTACGTAAACGTTGACAGTTTACCGGGTAATTTGTTCCATTTTGATGCCCAATTTCTTGCTGGGGATGACCAGGTTTGCGAGCCGGCTTTCCGCCGAAAGCCTTGGAATTGCCCCTTGGCCCTGCCGAAACAGCAAAAACTTAAGGCACAGAAAAAGTGATGGTCAAGAGAGTCAAGAGTAAGGGGAAAACCAGGAAATTGATGGAAAGAGTCCTGTAGGCTTAAAATTTACAATATCATCCAGAGAACCGAAGTATTCCGAGAAATTACACTTTATAAATCATCCAGATCCACATTCAACTCAAATCTGTTGATGCTTTTCTCGAGCATCGAAAGCTAAAAAGAAACATGTTCTCTGACATATGTGCCATCAAGTGTAGCAGTTGTTTTCATTCAGGTTGATGACTTGCACCATTTTTGAGACCCCCAAATACCGCAGCTTTGTACACGTCTACGTGAGTGAGTCACAGTATGTCCAAAGCCGATTTGCCCTAGCCATAGCCATCTTCATAGAAGACTGATGTTCCAGACCATTGGATTGATTTTGGGGTCCTCAACTTTTTGAGCTTCTGGAAGTCCAGGGCCTCGCCAAGTTGCCTCACCCGAGGCCTGCTGTTACTGCATCAGCGACGGTGTCGGACTTGGGGCTTCGCACGGGGGAGACCATTGTCATCCAATCGGTGGAACCTGCTGGGAGCCAGGGACAAGTGCTACGACGGAAGCTTTGCCATGGTTGGGGGAGAATCATCCTGCCAAAATCTGTTTGGAAAGACCGGTTTCCGTAGATTTCCGGGGCTATCCCATGTTCAAAACTGGTAGGGAATCTCACAACTGGTTTCTAAGCGAATCTCACAATTGGTCTGTAGTGAATCCCCGATTCCTGGGGCTATCCCATAGGTGAAATCGTAGCCGGAAGCTGATGTAAAAATCCATGTTTGGTAGCGGCAAACATGGCAAGCTGGGCAATCTCCGAACTAGACATTAAAAGCTGAGAAGATCATCGAACTAAACCATAGATCATTTATAAATAGAGGTTTCTAGCTGGGAAAATCATCTATAAATCAGGAGTTTTCCAGCTATGTTTGATGACACCGAAAGATCTCCCTCGGCCCAAGGATCATTGCGTCCGACAACAGCTGCTTGTTCAACGCCTTTGGCTATGTCACAGAGAAGAGCAGGGACCAGGCGCCCCCGCTTTGCGCCTGGATGTCGTGGGTGGTTGGTGAAAAACACTTGAGCTATTCAAAACAGCCTGGTTGGTTATGAAAAGAAAACATAGGGAATTAACCAACCAGATAACTGCATATAGTTTTTAAGCATCAAAAATGGAGATATAACACAAATATCATTGAAAAAATGATGGTTGATTGGTTATGGGATAGGGACTTTTGCCACCTGGGTTATTGGAGGTTGTGAATTAAAGAAAACATCGTAGGGAAACCTGCCAGCCAATTAGTACAATGACATGGGATATGGATGTTTTTAGAGGCTCAAGGAGTGTATCAAAATTACTTGTTTGGCAAACCCATCAAAAATGGGTGGTTGTAAATACCCTCTGATAATTTAACAGTTTGCTATTGAAAATGGTCATGTATAGTGGAATTACCCATCAAAAATGGTGATTTTCCAGTTCGTTATGTTTGTTTACCACAGGGGATGTGTCACAACAGCTATCCACTGTGATTCATGAGATGGGTCCCAAAACGTGGTAAAAGATCTTACCCTCCGGTCACCAAAAATCGCAATAGAAAATGCCTATTCTATCTATAGATGATTTTCCCATTAGAACCTCTAAGTATAGGAGGGTTCCAATTGCCATGTTTGATTACCGGAGGGTTCTTGTTTTGTTGTGTATGTCTCCATACTTGGCTGAGTAGGGCGAAAGATAGAATACCAATTGGCATCAAACTTTCTTGGTCATTCCCACTTTCCCTAGGTGAAATGACCTGTTGTGCTGCCATTGTGCCGGTGAAGTATCATCACCAGTTTCTCATGATTCAAGCTGTGTAGGGTGCACCTCGGTTGCTTGAACAAATATTCTTATTTGTGAAATCTGGTTTAACCTGCAGATTTGATGATAAAACCACCAGGTAGGTCCGAATCTTTGTTTTTGGCCTTCACCCCTTGATTTTCATGATTGCTGGCGAAGAAGTTCCCAATATTCATTCAATGAATATGGCGAACAAGTTCCCAGTATTCATTATATCTCAATGATGTCTCGATTATATCCCAATTAATCCATTGAGAGAATATCGGAGCTTTGGGATCCCCGAAAAGATGCCGAAAAGTGTGTTTCTTCCGTTGGGTGGGGATGTTTTTCATGATGTGAACTCACCATATAAAGTGACGAGTTTCTGGTTGGTATTGAAAAAATCCATCTTCTGGTTGGTTCTAGGATGTAAAAATATCATTTACTTCGATGATTTTCCTACAGTTCGAAGCTCCATTTACTTCGGAGATTTCCCAGCTTGCCATGTTTGATTCGCAAAAGGTCATTGATACCATCAATCCCCATCAATTCCCATTAACTTGGCTCGTAGACTCTGAATCAACGATAATTGTAGATCAATCCACGAGCAACACATCGATTAATAATCCTGCATGTTTCCCACATGTTCATATAGCAAAACTTGGAGAAAAATGGTAGATATATGGATATGGATCAAATTCATACTAAAACAGACAGGTCTTAAATTTTGACCCGTACCCATATCTTTAATTAAATTTAATTAAATAGGTGGTAAAGTCCATTCCCCCCTTGTAACAACCCATGTATCACTTGAATATAAGATGCTTAAATCCCATTTGATCCCATCAAATCTCATTAACTCTCTATAAAATCTCATCAAAACCATTTAAATCCCCATTAAACCACCATGAAATCCCCAATAACCACCATTTTCTAAGGAGAAAAACCATTGACGTCCCACCTCCTGCTTCAGGCTCGAAGCCTTCGTCAGCTGGTGGCGCAGAAAATCAGCGCGGACCAGGAGCGTTTCTGCGAGGCGGGTGAACCGCAGTGCTTGGGCAGTTGGGGTCGTGGATCTTTTTTGAGGAACTGCATTACATCCTTGGGGATTTATACGTAACTGGATAAATCCATAGTATACTTACAAAATAGTACTATGTATCAAGAATACCCATAGCGTTGATTTTTATAAGTGGATATAAAATCATAGGATTTGATCCCAACAAAAATGGAGGTTACCATGGCTCATTTACAATCCCAACACAATGTGAGGCTTAGAAGGGAGAAAAAAAAACAGCGGAAAATTGATTTAACCAACAAAATCATTCCCACTTTCCCTACCATATATTCACCATATATTAACCATATATAAACCATATATTAAGGTGAAATGACCTGTGAAGTGCTGCAGTTGTGCCGCTGATTTGTATCATCACCAGTTTCTCATGATTCAACCTGTGTAGGGTTCACCTGGCTTGCTTGAACAAACATTCTGAAATTTGTGAAATCTGGTTTAACCTGCAGATTTGTTGATGAAACCACCAGCTAGGTCCTAATCTTTGTTTTTGGCCTTCACCCCTTGATTTTCATGATTGATGGCGAAGAAGTTCCCAATATTCATTCAATGAATATGGCGAACAAGTTCCCTTTTTATTCATGGAATATCTCAATGATGTCTCGATTATATCCCAATTAATCCATTTAGAATATCGGGGCCTGGGCTTTATATGGTACAGTAGCCAGTGGATCGATACCTGAAATGGCCAGAACAACGCCAGAAAGGAGCGCAAAGCTGGTTGGTGGTGTGGAACATGAATTTCATGACTTTCCATATATTGGGAATTTCATCATCCCAACTGACGAACTCATATTTGTCAGAGGGGTAGGTCAACCACCAACCAGTAGGTGAAGTTGTTTCAGCATGGGATTGAAACGTTAAATCAAAGAATCTTCAAATGAAACGGAATCGCCATTCGCCAAAAAAAGTTTCAGAACGGGAAGCCCAATCTGGTTGACCTCCGACCTGCGGTTGAAATTTGTGGATCACCGGGTTTCTTTAGCCCATCATACGAACCATCGTTTTTTGGGGTGTTTAGGATGATCCCACTTGCAACAGCTGGATGAATCAACCATATTAACCATGTTCAGCATATACAATATTCATATATCAAATGCAATCATATATACAATATTCATATATACATATTAACCGAATATTTTTTAGCCACTTGAATCCGCATGAGGATAGCTTCAAAGCCCGTTTCGGATGTTGCGATAGCTGCCAGGCATTTCTGGCCAAACCCAACGATGAGTATTGCAAATGGATCCTCAAGGACCGGAGAAGCCGCTTCACCACACACGTCATGTTCGTTGTGCTTTGTCAAAGCCATTGACCCGGCCTGGTAAACTAACATAGCGAACTGGAAAATCATCCTTTTTAATGGGTAAATCAACTATATCTATGGCCATTTTCAATAGCTATGTTAAATTACCAGAGTGTATCAATGGCCATTTCAGGTACCGATCCACTGTACACCATATAAAGCCATAGAAATTCATGGTATATCGGTATATGTTAAAAATTTAGCCCTTAGACCAAAAATTCATAGGTGCGTCCAATTGAGCGTCATGAAATCGCCAGTGAATTTACCATCCCAATTTGCACAGCTTAACCCTGATTTATAGCCCAGCTTTTAGTGGAACCGACGTAAAGTTCCAACCCCCCCCAAGCTAACAATATGTGGGAATACTGGAGGGATGGTGATTTTGTTTCCTGTTTCATGTGTGGATGGACCTTATCAGTTTGAAAAAAACCAAGACTCTCCACTATAAGCCATCTTTATATCTTTCACCTCTATAAATCTGATGATTGAAAAACCCTCGGGGTCAAAAATATCTGTGAACTTACCGACCATGACATCATAACACCCAAAAAAATCTGGCGTCAGGATGACAGTTGGGGAGGAGCCATCGAACTCAGCATCCTCGCCGAGCATTTCCAATGTGAAATCGCCGCCTACGACGCTAGTGCCGCTAGTGGTGACCATCTCATGCTGGACATCCCACGACTCGAAACTGTTTAGGTTAGTAGGGTTGGTTCACCCAGTTGCGGGAGAAGCCCACTTTAAATGGGGACTTACGAATGGGTTGCTGATAAAAACCTTTTCCAGGATGGTATGGGTCAAGCACCCAGGGACCACAGATTTTAGTCTATGTATGTCTATAGTAAGCATCTAATTCTTGGGACCTTGGTATACCCAATATCCATATTGTTTCTGAGTTTCTCCTTGGTGCATCCACGATTTGGGAATGGAAATTGTTGAATAGTTGTTTGTTCTTATGCCCCTCTAAAAAGCAAATCTAGGATGGGAAATTTGCTTATTGTTGTTGTTTCCAAGAGAGGAAATCTAACAAGAATGGGGACATAGACCAAACATGACCAAACCATATCTGGTTTTTTTTGGTGTGGATTTTTTGTGCGGTGCCAAAAGAAGGCGAAGGGAGCGGGAGAAGATCTTGGGACATTCTCCATCACTGACGTGTTGGATGGGGGTTGCTGGTGGGAAGCCATCTGATGAGCTGATTTGTGTTGGTGTTTCCGGCCAGAACATGAAAAAAATGGGAAAATATCGAGAAGAGCGGAAAAATACAACATCCACCAACAAAATAAGACATCACGGGGTAGATACGTCAAGCCCGATGTGTTGGATTCAATAGTATGACTGAAAGGTATCGACACAAATATGATGGATCCGATGTTGAAGCCATCTTTCGTTCGATCATGGGATTCAAGACCTCTTCTGCATAGGAACTGGACTCGTGACATCTCCCAGTGAGGTGATGCCCTCATTTCTGCATGGCTCCAGCTATCATGAGGATTTCCAACTGTTGGTAACTGGTTCCTGTTTCTGAGTCAACCGTACCAACTGATAGAACTCCTCGCCTTAATCCATTGGTTTCCCCAAGAATCCCTGGTTTCCTCAGCACAAAGTACACCGATGCCGATGCCTCAGGATATCTGCACCAAGCGTCGTGATCTGCACGGCGAAGGGCAAGGATATGAAAAGCGATGTATGTTGATCTACGTGGCTGGGCCAGATCTAGGATAGATGGCAAAAGGTAACCCAGGCAACCCAGGTAACCCCCCAGTGGCTCATTAAGGGGCCCCGGGTGGGGGGGGTTGGTACGGTGCGAGAAACTCTTGTGCTATCAATGGTAAAATGATGTAAAATGTACTAACCAGCTAAATTTGCCAAGAATTTGGAGTTGATGCTCAAACCTCAGTGAAGCAACACTTGGCCGTTTGGGGGTCTCTAAAAATTGGGATCCCCGAAATGATTATAGGGAAAGTTTGGCTGAAAATGATGATCAATGTGGGTTGCACTGCAACCCAATGCCATAAACCGACCATTTGGGGATGGTGATTTGCGGGATGGCTTGACCAGCAGATTTTGGGGTTCCTTGTTGCTACCCCCACAAGGTGGTGCCCCATAGTTAGCTAAGTTGGTTTATAACTCCAATAACTATGGTTTATGGTAGATATATCTATAGTTAATGGGATTTATAAACCAACTTATAACTGGGGGGGCAACACCTTGCAAGGACGGCATCCACTATGACGCTTTAGCCCTGGCTGCTGATGCCTCCGCCGCGGAAGCAGAGGACGTCACCATGTTTCAGACAGGCCAGGGATGTTTTTCGCGGGATCAGCGTTGGGATGGTTACCATAACCGAGGTTTCAAAGTATGGATGAAAAGCCCTGGTTTTCCCCATGACTTCATGGATGTTTAACAACTTCAGAAGTAAGTTCTTGTATGGTGGGATTTTGAGATATCCCATGGATTATCCCATGATATCCTATTAGACTTTGCTGTAAGTACAAGTGGTGAAATCGTCATTAACTATAGATAGTTCTACCATGAACCCTAGTGAAATGTAAGTGAACTAAAGCAGCTTAGCTAACTATCAATGAAGTGTGTTGGTGACATTACCATTTTCATTAGTTAAACTCTCATTTTCCGTATTCAAATCACCATGTTCATTAGTTGTTTCACTCTCTCTATTAAATATATAAATATATCTATCATAAACCCATATTTGTTATATCATTACATTAGAGAAATCTTATACAGTTATATTAGTTAGTTACAGCCGTAGTTATATGAGTTACCCTCTGGTTACAGATGGATTTTCCCATTTACAGATGATTTTCCCAGTAAAACCCCCATGTTTCATGGATTTTCAGCTATAACCCAGCCATTGGGATCTTGATTCTCTTCAGCTCCATGAGGCGCCGTGGCCGAGCTCGTGGACGTGAAAGCGCGGAGCTTCGTGGAGGAGCAGCACAAGCAACGACAGCGACATGGCTTGGATGGCGTGGATGGCGAAACGGCCAAAGGGTGGTAGTTTTTTCCCAATAGTCCCAATGACAATATTGGTCCCAATAAGAATATTGGGACTTTACTATCAAAATACTTTTTCCCAATAGTCCCAATTGCCCGAATTTTGGTCAAAATTGTTGGACTTTACTTTCAAAATACTGATTTAGACATCAACATGATGGATTCGATGGGATTCAGCCATCAAAAGCGTTGGTAAAACCAACCGTCAATGACTGGAATTGTAGAGTTTACCAGCAAAAGATGTGGATTTCATCAATAAAATTTGGAGCAACAAAGAAAATCTTGGGTAAACCGGTCAACCCTTCACGAACTGGAGTGAAAATCTATGGATTGATCACATGTTGTTATATAAGTGTCAGACAGGTTTTGCTGTTTGTCGATGTTTTGCTGCTTGAAAGCCAAAAAAAAGTGGTGTCCAGTAGCTATCGAAATAGGCTTAGTTAAATACCTCGCGTCTCTGGGAGGGATATCGAAGGAAGATCTTGGTGATGGCCCTAATCGAAATAGATGGTCCACCTATTAATAGCATGGTGGATCTTTCCATGGCTGTGTTAAATAACCAGATGGTAACTAGGAAGATCTTGGTGAAACTGGGCTTCATATCAGTGGCGTGACTGGTAACATTGGCCAATAAATATCCAATCATAATTCCCAATAGTCCCCCAATGACTAAAAATAATCGCCAATACTCACCAGCAATAGCTTAACCTTCAAAAATTTATCCCTCAGAACCTTGGCTTGTAGTTTGTTTATTGCCCCCAAGAACTAGTGAAACTTGATTGCTTAAATTCCATTGTCAACGGAGACGTGAGAAGGGTGCGTTGGAGCAAGAGAATGTGGCAGGGGAGCAGTGGTCTGTCTGAAAGGTCTAAAGACTGCCTGAAGAAATTCGTGCTGGCTCACAAGAACGTCCGTATCGAGCAGGTTTCATGTGAACAGCAATTGTAGCATATAGCATATTCAAATGAGAACAACATGCGGAGCCGGAGCCGAAAATGCCTAATGAGAAGACCGTGGTCAAATTATTCAAGAATCTGCGATTTCGAGTGTCGCCTGGATGGGATGATGCACAAATGGCAGGTCCCGCCCAGTTCCAGGTCCAGGTCCAGGTTGCAGTTCCGCTATGCGGTTGATATCATGTTACCCATAACTATTACAGGACCCCAACTTCTGGAGGTAAGCTATGTAAACTCACCATGGCTATTTGAACGTTTTAATGCTGGTATTCCCAAATCATCCAGTCGTCATGGATGACATGGATGACCATCAGTTCATGTTGAAACAAGCTGAAACCATGGTGACTTGGGGATCCATGACTTCAGATGACTTCAGAAACCCCCCATATCCATTAGTCGGTGCAGGTTCACCGACACCGGCAACTTCACCTTGCGCTGCGTCTCCTGTCAACAGGGCCTGAAAGGTGAGAAGGCGGGATCGGCCCCACGGGTGATTTTGGTGGAGCTCATGCAGGATGGTGCCCCCCAGATATAAGTTGGTTTATAAACCCCATGAACTAGTCCGTTATATCTGCCATAAACCATAGTGAAATGGGAGTTATTTGCACCAACTTAGCTAACGAACTGGGCTACCACCTTGTGCAATTCACTGAGATTTTTGATGGTGGTTTTATAGGGTTTATAGTGATATTATCACCACCGAATGACCATGTGATCATGGCGATTTAAGCATCGAAAATGGTGATGTCATGGGATTCAGAAAGTGACATGGGGATTGTTTTAGGCCAAGCCTTGATATGTGGGGAAATTTTATGGAGTGTAACCAACTTGATATGGCATTTGATATGGTATTTGGGTGTGTCTGAAAAATGGGAATCGACCCCCATTTGTGGTCATATTTTCATAGAGCAGGGAGGATGATAATCAACAATCAAGTTTGGGGGTATGTTCGGAGGAACAAATTCGGATTCAAGCACGTATCGGATTCAAGCACTTAAGATTCTGCCACGAATGTCCCAGGATTCCGCCACCAACGTGCTCGGATTCAGCCACGAATCTTCAAGCACGAATGGATAGTATTCGAGAACTTTTGCGTGCAGATTCAAGCACAAGTCTTCAAGCACAAAAAAGATCGGATTCGAGAACTAAAAGTGTAGGATCCACCCACATATCTTCAAGCACGAATAGCCAATCCTTTTGTGGCCAGATTCCAGCACAAATCTTCCAGCACGAATGCGTGAGGATTCGAGAACAAATACTTTCGGATTCAGCCACTAGTTTCCCGAAGATTGTCAGTCATTTTTAAAACTTCCCCCTCAAAAGCCCTACATGCAATAATATTCCTCCATTCAGAAGCCTCCTCTTACATAGAATTCTTCTCACGATCCTAAGTCATTTTTTCAACTTCCCCCCCTAAAGCCCTATATGCAATAGTATTCATCAATTCAGATGCCTCACCTTACATAGAGTTCTTCAAACGATCCTAAGTCATTTTTTAAACTTCCCCCCCAAAGCCCTACATGCAATAATACTCCTCAATTCAGAAGCCTCCCCTTACATAGAGTTCTTGTTACGATCCTACCTCATTTTTTAAACTTCCCCCCCCAAAGCTCTACATGCAATGGCATTCACCAATTCAGAAGCCTCCCCTTACATAGAGTTCTTGTTACGATCCTAAGTCATTTAAAAGACTTTGCGTCCAGTTTCATAAAGTTACCCTATTCTTTCCAGATGGTGACAAAGCATCAGCAGGTTTTCGGCAAACCAGTGCACCTCTGCCGAGATTTGTACCATGTGCTACAGAATGCAAAAAAATTGCCCGCACACACATCGCATGGAGCTGCTTTCGCATCTTACGTGAAAGGTGAAATTCAGTACACATCCTCTCTGTCTTCGAGAGCTCTGTTGTCCTGTGCGTGGGAATCCATCATTTGTGATTTCGTCGAGGCAGGCCGCCTGAAAATGGCGTCCTGGATCCAAGAATCCCTTCTTGCTTGGAATGAGAAAGGCAAATGTTACCAAGCGAGGTGGACAGGAGGCATTTCTGTGCCTTTCCTACCGCCAGGCTACGGTCCACTGACCTGTCAACAGGCTCTTGAGCGGTTCAACGGGATAATCAAAGGCAACCTGCCTGTCAACGCGCATACGCTGTGCCTTTCAGCAGTTTCTCCAGAAGTGGAAGCTAGTGTCCGAAGTCAGATGTGCGCGATACTCAGTTGTGAGTAGAACTGCTGCGTCATTGTGTGCTTGATGTCTGTCATGTGCATTCTCTATTCTCTGATTCTATTCTCTGATGTCATAGGCATAAATTTGATGCTAAAAACCAAAACTTTGTTGACTTATGGGACTTAGCACTTGGACGGTTGCTATAAGTTACTGAAGATATCCCTATTAGTTCCTGAAGATAAGTTTCGGAAGATAAGTTTCCGAAGATTAGTGACCGAATCCGTTCCTATTAGTTACGGAATACAACGTTGACCCGGAGTTCAAAGAATCTTCGTCTATTTAAAGTGCGACCTGGCGGTTGCAACTTGTCGTTCTCGACAGAGGTCTCGCAAGGTTTTGGTGTGTCCAGGCTCCATGGACATCATCCCATGGTGTTTGAATGTCTGTTTGAATACCTTAATTCTGCTGGTGAAAAGTCAATGTTTCATGGTAACATCAGCATTTTTCATGGTTAAATCTGTGTCGTCTATTGGTTGTTTCCCATGCTTCCCAATACAGGATGATGCCCCCCAGTTATAAGTTGGTTTGTAAACCCTATTAACATCCATTAACTAGTAACTAGTTCGTTATATCTACCATAACCATAGAATTCAGCCACAGTATGACCATAATCCATATATTTCACTTCAAACCAGGAAGCCAAAGCGCACGCCGAAGCTACAGGCACGAGTCTGGCAGACTTTTCGATTTTGCCCATGGATTGGTTGAAAATTGGCAGAAAGCCATGAAACCCAGCGAAATTGAGAATTAGTAAGTATAGATATATATGCATACATGCGTATGTACGTACACATGTACATACATACCTACGTACATATATATATATATATATATACATATGTAAGCCTGCCAAGCTGAATGATAGAATCAGAATCAAAATCAGAATGATGTCCAGAAAATGAGAAAGCTGACAGCTCCAAAACTCACTAATGCAAGAAGAAATTGGAAGTCCTGCGTCAGAATGGGCTATGAAAAATAGGGTTTCTCGCAAAATTTGAACACCCAAAATACTGTGAATTGTGATCCATTCCTTTGATGAACATCAGGGGAAACCAGGCGTCTCTATGTTCACAAGGTGGTGTCCCATAGTTAGCCAAACTGGTTTCCAACTATGACAGGGGTTTACGATAGATATAGTTTATGGTAGATATATCCAACTAGTTCATGCGGTAAAACGAAGCCAACAAAGATAACTGGAGCACCATATTGCAAGGTATCAGGGTGTTGATTGATAGCAATATGGGTTTGTCTGAAAATAGGTACCCCTAAACCCAATGGTTAAGAATCATTATCCCTATTGAATTGCTATAATTCAGTGAAAAGGTAAATCAAAGAAGGGCAAGAACTCTCACTACATGGATGTGAATGCTGCTTGGAAGGGAAAGGGCAAAGGCAAACCACCTGCCTCTTTTGGCCGACCTCCGGCGAATGCCTATGCCACTGACGCGTTCTATGGCATTGAGATGAAAGACCTCCGCCAGAGGAACCGATTTACTTGCTATTTTCTGAACTGACTACATCAATGAATCCAAATCGGGTTCAGTCTGAAAAGCATTTTGTTTACGGCAATGTATGTGCCAGTCTCACCGATGCCCCAACCGTTGTCATCTCGAAGTACATGCGGCCGTTTGTTTGGGAATGGGTGTTGGGGTCAGGCAAAGTACAAGGTCACCAATGTCACCATCACCTCCCATGTTTCTGGGAAATCTCGTTCAAAGTTACACGGGACGACCCCCATGAATCCCCTGTGACCATGGCACATATCCCATAAATTGTTTCGGTATCCCTTATCCATATGTCCCATATGTTCTATATGTTATTATTATTTTTTGTTATTATTATATATTATATGTCCCATTGTTCGGTCCCATATGGTGCTTATATATTACATCTCCCATATGTTCTATGGTTGGCTACAAATCCCCATCACTTTGTGGGTGAATCCCATTAAATCTTGTGCCTCCCGGCCAGGTCACACAGGATTCGCTGAGTACTAGCGAGATCCCAAAAAAAAGCGACAGGATCGCCCTGGCCAACCTCAGTACAAAGTTTCATTGTTTATTTACATATACATATATATTTATATCTATCTCTATATCTATATCTATATCTATATAGATATATAGATAGATAGATGATATATATATATATATACGTATAGCTGTAGGCTGTATACAGGGAATCATCCCAAAACGGGATGGCTGGGGGAGATTCCCCCATTTCTGATTGACCCTCGCCTCGGATTTGGTCATGACGGCTGGATGATGGAAACCCCCAAATATATGTATTATATATATAGATAATATATATATATGATAGTATAAGTATAATATATACATATATCATAGATATATTATAGATAATGGAATTGTTTCATCCCTCCCCCTCATCAAATGACTGAAAACATATTGAAAGATTAAATGACTAGATCTTGATAGATTCAAACCACGACCTCACCACGACGTCACTGTAAATGATGGTTTTCTTCAGAGGAATCATCCCAAAATGACTTCATTTCAGCTTGGTGAAATGATTATAATTCATTCACGACTCCACTTTTCCAACAAACATCTCGGAGTGTTGGTGATATCCCCATCTTTACCAGTCCCAACATCTCATAATCTCTCCATGAAATCCTCAAGATGTTCCCTTTTCAGTTCGATGAAAGCCAGGCATCGCTGCGACATCAAACGCCTAAGCCGATGACATGATCACTGGGTGGATCATGTAGTATTGTGAGCTATAGATTTACCATTGATCCACTTGAAACTTGAGGTTTTTACCCAAACGGATCAACGGATCGCACCAGACAAGAGTGTGTGTGTGTGTTTGCTTCTTTTTGATGGAGATGTGTGTTTCCTTCAACAATGAAGCTTTGATGATTCCATGACGCCAATTGATAGCAAAATCCCAACATTGAAATAGGCAAAACTGAGCCGATCATTTGTAGCTCTTTTCTTCCAACCAACATGCCGCTATCGCGCGCTGAGCAAGCCATTTGTCGCATTTGCTTCGGCGAGGCCGTCGATCAGACTCCACCGGAGGGCGTTTGGGGGCTATTGAATAAGGCTATTGAATAGCCATGTTGATGGGGATATTACTTACAGCCAGCTCGGTTTTAAAGACTGTTAGTGAATTGTTTGTGATGTCATTTTCGCTTCCAAGTTTGTTGCGGAGTTTGGTGTGTTTGCATTGCAGCCTTTAGAAAAGAACCAGACCCGAATCCTTGCCAGGATTGATGGTTATATATCAAAGTAACCTCCAATGAAGCACTCATAAGGCATTGACATAAAGACTTCCAACTCCACTTTACCCTCTTTGCCAGGAATTCTGGACTGGTTTCATTCATGGGTCAAAACCATGGTACCCTGGTAGATATACCAACATGTTCATCCCCCAATTCATATGGGAAGATCATAGGTTTTGACCCATGCCCATTTCACAAGTCTGGAAATCAGCTGGTCAGGAGCAAGAAGATGACAAGAATTTGGCTTTGATTTCCCCTTGCAAATGCGAGGCACAACAAACTTCGATGGCTGGTTGAGATGGGGGCTAGTACCCTCTGGTAATTTAACATAGCTATTGAAAATGGCCATTTATAGTGGATTTACCCATTAAAAATTGTGATTTTCCATAGTTACGTTAGTTTACCAGAGGGTACCATATGTGGATTTTGTCATGAATCAACACTGTCCCAATTGATGAAGTCTATGTTTTATGAGAATTCAACCCTAAAGAGTGACCTCAATGAGGGCGACTCCTAGCCATCGATTCTTGGTGAATCCCTCAGTCAGGGCTCACAGAAATACATCCACGTCTCGTGCTTGCGGAAATGGCAGCGCACGGTGCGGCTTGGCGACGGTTTTCGGGGCAATGGGAACGGCTTAGAGTTGGGAATGACTCTGCTCCATGGAGATGGAAGATTTCATGGGATTGACCCTGGATGTTGAAACCTATAATTTTCCCACATGAATTCAGGGATGAAGATTAAAAAGCCACAATCGTACCATGCTTTTGACCCAGAAAGCATGCGCCAGCGCCGAGGCAGTTGGCTGGTTCCAACCATCCAGAAGCTTGGCACGGCAATGGAAAATCCCTCAGAAAATCCCAGCGAACTAAACCTCCATTTGGTTCGGGGATTTGCTACGAAGGGTATCTAACTCCATTGATTCATCCTGGTTTCCCTATCATACTTGCCAGAAAAGATGTTCCAAAGGGCTTAATCGCTCAATCCCTCCGGCCAAGGAAGACCATGATGCAGAGGTGCGGGGTAGTGTTCTCCGATTTGAATGCTACCGAAATGGGCAATCCTGACTCGGAAATTCCCAGTTCGGCAGGAAAATCACCCGCACGAAACCCCCGTGAATTGGAAAAGCTGTAGCTCTATTTTCTGCTGTTTTTTTGGGATAATGGGATGATTTCTGGGTTGTTTTCCAGTCCCCCCATGCCATGTCCAGGACCGTCACAGCGTGTGCAACGTCTGCAAGGGCACTTTTGATTTGCCACCGCAGGATCTTTGGACGGGTCATCCCCCTGCAGATCGGGTGTTGTTATGACGAAATCATCCAGAGAACTGGATAGTTGACATGATTTGTTGACATAATCTGTAATTACGGCCGTTCAAGATCTTAAGGGTTTTCTTGGACACCCGTATTTGTAGGCATAATATGTATATATATATATATATTTCAAAATATGCAGAGAGAGAGAGAGAAGAAAAAAAAGAATGTTATATATATATATATTATAATTATATAGATAGAAACATGAATATATATATATACACACTTTGGTCGACTCTTATCTCTGGTGTGCTTCCTTATGTTTTCTGCTTCCGCAGTGATGTTTCTTGTGTGTCTTCCCCTTTTCGATTGGCCAAATGTCCAACTTTGTTGCGATTCTCAGAGTTTGATTGAATCCCGGCTCCTCACATCCTCTTGCTCGTGAACATCCGCCTTTTTGCGATAGTTGAAGAAGATACCCTCTGGTAATGTAACATAGCTATTGAAAATCACCATGGTGAATAGGTAAATAATTTATAAATGCACCATTTTCAATAGCTATGTAACAAACTACCAGAAGATACATCTCCATTTCCACGACTCAAAATCTGATTTTTACTGGTTCCATCCATTATGGTTCTTATGAAATCAATTGCTGTCTTAGCATCTGACATTATGATCGGAGATGAGGGATTCATTTTTCCCATAAAGATTGCCATAAAATGGGGATACACATTGGACAAACCCAAATGTCATATTGTTGGTTCTACATCCCAGAAAATAGCCATCAAATATGTCCACGAAGTTTGAGAGTCCTATTGTTGCTGATTCGCTTGTTGAATCCATAGCGTTCAGAATTGAGATCCGGAGATGTCGTGGGGAGGGCAAGCCAATCACTGGAGAAAGCTGAGACGACATCGTCTCGCGCCAATACGGTCAGCTTGGCCGTCGGCGTCATGCAAGCTCTGAGAGCCAACAGGGCCAGGAGGGCGCAAAGAAACAACTCATGTCCGGCTGGATGGAGCGTCCGAAGAGGACGCGACGCATTGCATTTTCGGCTCGTTGTTTTGGCACGTTGAACCTTTTTCTTCACGTGCGAAGCGATTTTTCTGTTCCGGCGCTGTCCCTCCACCAGCCAGGAGCGAGGCGAAATGATGTCCGACTTGGCGGGCGTTTCTTGGTGTCGATGGGAATCAGTGGAGATTTCAGAAGAAAATGGAGGCATCATATGGCCATATTCTGTCGGGGATATTCCCTGAAATTTCGGCCTTATATATGGTAGGTACCTCCAATGAATCGGTTCCTGTAATGTCCGTTCAATCTATAGTATGCATTGAGTTGCAAACCAATTAAATGGTGAGTTAAGCCATAACTTGGGAGTGCAGTTGGGGTTGGTTTTATGGCTATAATTACGGTAATAACCTCCATAAGTTGGGGCATGGGGCCCCTTCAGCAATAGTTAAATAACCCATTTATTAGTGGAATTGCACCCCAAGTGGGTTGTGGAACAACATTGTTGTTTCTTAAGAAGAACAATTCGGGAATTTTACCCAACTATTTAAAAAGAAAACATGAACCTGGGCTTTGTACCACAAAATGGTCATGTTCACGAACCATAAATGGTAAATAAGAAATATGATGGGGGGTGGGTGAAAAAACAAGAAAAATGTCGAGGTGGTCAAATCGCATGTGTCTTGGATAGTTTTTTGTTGGGTGGTTGAATCACCAATGTTTTTGGTCAAGTAATCATCCTTTCTGGGAGGATAAAGGATTAAAGATTAAAGCCTGGTTGGTGGTTTGGAACATGTTTTATTTTCCATATGTTGGGAATGTCATCATCCCAACTGACTTTCAAATTTTTCAGAGGGGTAGGTATACCACCAACCAGAAGCAGTAGATGGTAATGGAACCAAGCAGAAATAGAGGTTGAAGCAACAAGGCAGGGGACTTTGGCCAGGTTTTTTGTGTAAATCTTGTAAGCTCACAGACGAAAACGAGTGACTGAACCAGCATGCGGATAGGTTCAACAGCAATATATCCTCTGGTAATTCAACATGGCAATGGAAAAAAAAGAAAAAAAAACACATTTTATTGGGATCATATAGGAGAATCATCTGCAAATGGGTGATTTTCCATTGCCATAGTAAATTATTGGAGGGCGGGCTGATCAAACAGGCAAACGAATTTGGGATATCACCGGCAGGAGGGCTGCACTCATCAATGGGTGGATTCAAGATGTAGCAAGTTCCAGTTGCAGTCAGAACAGTATCCAACAAATTTCGTAAGTTAACCCATCCGTAGGATCAACGATCTCCCGGAAGCAGCGACATGGCACCAAGTTCTTCGCAGATTGTGGGTAGGTCCCGCCGGACGAAAGGGAGATTGCGCACAGTCTGAAACGGCTGGGATTGGGCCCTTCAGGGCATTGCAGTTGACCTTGCCTGAGGACTCAAAAGATATGATTTATATGTTCGTTTGATTTTGATACTATGTTATTTGTTGTATTTG